CAGCTCGATACGGCTACATAGAATTAAAACCATGAGAGTGATTTTGAAAAACCAATAATGTCTATCACTTCTGTTGATTTCAAAGTATTTTTTTGTATCCTAGCCTCAAAGACTCATGCAGGACTATTAGTATATAGCACGTGATTTGTAGAATTAGTACAGTATGTGGTTGAGGAGGTTGCGTGTGTTCGACGTGGCGAGTGTGATCACCTCTGGATGTGCTGCAGAAACACAGGCAGTGGGTTTACAGCAGTAGTGGGGCGATGTCGCAGTCCCCAGTGAGGCCAGCTGATGTTTGACACGTCTGTCCTCTTTTACACCTCAGTTATAACTGGAATCAAACCATCTGTCCTGTCTGTCTGTCTACTCCTCAGAACTGTCGTTCTTCCCCTGCAGAGGATGAGCACCGTGTTTTGTTCCTCTGAGATATGTTGTGCCAAACATTTGGGTGTTTTGTTTTTTGTTTTTTGGTTTTTTTTGCTCTCTGCGACGTAGAGATCTGATTAATCCTCACTGCACTTCAGTGCGTACAGAAGGCTCTTTTGATTTTTCAGTGTGTGGTCCCTCTGGTGAAATAAGTGCCGCCTCACTCTGAGTGTCAACGTGCCTTTAACTCTCCTTCTACAGTATTCGGCAGCTTCATTTACATTTGACCACGTTATGTGTAAGTGTAGATTTGTTGTGTCAGACATTATTTTACTCCCATTTCCCTCAATTTCAGCCCGACATGACTGGTATCTTTAGAAACGGCTGGATGTTTTGAGAATTAAAATACATTTCTTCGTGTTTAAACATCCTTTACAACACGGGTTTGTAAAGATGGAGCCATCAATGGGTCGGACAGAGTTTGAGAGGTTAAATATAAGAAGTCTGCAGGCATTCTGCTGAAGTTATGCATCCCAGTCAGTAGCCACTGTTTGAGTGAGTCTTTCAGTGCTATAATGTTATGTAAATTAACTGCCAGTATGAAGGGTTTTCATCCATGTACTGGTACACAAATGTGGCAGATTGCCTGTGCTGGACAGTAACCAGTTATTGATTTCTCGGGAATGTGTGGCTTTCAGTGAAATTGAGGCTTATCACATGCAGCCTGTTATCAGCAGTCTTCTGGGGAACCGGCTCAGTACTGTACCTGACAAGCCTGTAAAGAGAAATGTTGTGTAGTTCTTCCTGACACATAGATTTGTGCTTTCTATCTCGGTGAGCACTCAGCAAGAAACCCCCCCCCCCCCAGCACTGAATACATGCTACATGATTTATTGTGCCTGTTAAAATGCAAATGAAGGGATGGGCAGGGGGTAAACAAGTGTTGTCTGCTCAACTTTAGTCACCTATAAGTACACGGAGCTGGCACACTCCTGCTACTTTGACAGAACAAACCGAGGAAATTAAGGATTGCACACAACAGTGCAACCAAGAAAGAGGAAGATGGTAATTTAAATTGAATGTCTCGATTGACCACGGGCTCTGCTCTCACTTGGAAATGTATCTGTCAAACAAGTGCAGCAAGCACAAACATAACCTGTTTGAGGGCCGTAGATAGGAATTTAAAAAGCATCATTATCAGTCAACAGAAAGCTTGTGCCCACAGCGGCTGTCTGCTTGGTTTTTAAGGTTTTTAAGGTGTACAGGATGGAAACGTCGAATGTTTACAGGATTCACTTCAGAGGCCAAGAGAATCGTGGCCATAATTTGCCCTAATTTGTGTCAGTCAGGTGTTAAATGGTGCGTTCAGGCAGGGCTTGTCGACTCGTAAAGTCTGGACGTTTTACATGTCAATGGTAAATATGTCACATAAACTGGACCAATGAAAAGGAAATAGCAGGATGTAAACAACAGAAGCCAGGGGTTAAACCTATCAACAGCGTTAAACCAGAGACAGTTGAGAAAGGAGACGGCGCACTTACAATCATTCCCTCTTTAGGAGACCAGCGACAGGTCTGAGACTCTTCGATTCTTTCGCCCCACAGTCACCTAAATGAATACTGGATTGATTTTTCACGAGCCACAGATCTTCCAAACATTCTGACATTAAAATGACATTTTTCAGACCAACAGATCAGGAGAAAAACAACTTTATTCGAGACCCGTTTCTGTCTCCGCAACAAACTCTCACGAGATCTCGCGACACAGATCTCTCACTCGCCGACTTAGGAGACAGGAAGTGTATCTCATTTCTTACCACTGGTGCTGCCTGTAACGCGCCGTCTTTTGTTGTAGAGTATCTTTGATACATCGCTTACAGCTGCTCCTGAACATGCTAATGTTTTTTGTTTGTTTGTTTTTTTATTCATTCTGTGTTTAAGCGTTTAACACACATGGGCTCGTAGTGTTAGAAACGTGTTTGTCAGGAGCTGTTCCCTGGGTTATAATCAGTTTACATAAAGATGGTCCTCATGCTCACGCTCTCCTCAGACAGTCTGAGGAGCCCTTGATCCTTCACAGACACGGGGAAGTGATAGCCTCCATCTCTACCGCCTCACTGACCTGACTTCCTGGTGTTGCAGGGCTCTCTTATGTAACACAGTATGAGAAAAACAAAAGATGTGATTAATACAAACAGGCAATGGCTCGTGGTGATTTGACACGGGTAATTAATTCTGTCGGCAGTGATTGTATTAATAATTTAGGGACATGTGGCGATATTAGACTGTGCGTGAAGACATTTGTAACACTACATTTTTAAAGCCGAGCCTCCATCTGGTTCTGTCTTGATGTCGTCCCCTCATGTCCTCGCATGGGTCAACATCAAGGTTGCCGTTTGATACAGGTGCTGCATCCCACTTCTCAAAGACTCAAAAGGCACCCAGCTGTACAACGTGGGTAAGTTGAGAAAAGTTTAGCCTCACGCAGACGTCCTCTGACACGTGGGAGCGACAGTCGGATTCCCCCATGAACAAGAAGCAACAGTTGTTTCCTTCTCCACGTAACTTTAAATGTGCTTCAAACTAAATTATTGACACCATCGGCACCTTCCCACTTCTCTGTGATATTACATAAAATGGGAACCTGCTTGTATAGCGGCTATGACAAAAAAAAAAACTTTACCCAATCAGGGCTGAGTATGTACATGACATGCTCCGTGCAAACAAGCCCGCAAGCTGACACAATTGTATATAACCAAACCGTATTTGTCAGGGTCACGGATCCATGCACACCCATTGAGCACTGTGAGTCTGTAAGTAAGCATTGCAGTACAAATGTTTTCCCTGTTTGACAAGTTGTGGTAAGTAGCTTGTGTTTTGTCCCCCATGAAATGAGAATTTTGCCCAATGTTGAAACATTTTCAGACAGTTCAGTCACTTCTCAACCATTTATAAAAGTTGTGATGACCTGACATTTCATGGATTCAGTTTTTTGTTTTTGTTTTCTGCTAAAATGCAGGATGGAAATTTGGCTTCCATTTATTAGCCTGGGTTTATTAAAAAAAAAAAAAAACACCTCATCAAATGCCAGAACGAATGACGAGAGCTGAGAAAGCCGTTCTTGAAATGCAAAGCCGCAAAGCCTGAACTGCCTTGGACCTCCAAATCCTGTTTATTCCCTCCTGTCTATACACTGCATTTGCATTTGTTTATGTAGAGTAATCTCAGTGAGAAAAAAATAACCTGCATTTGCACTTTGACCTCAAAGTGGAATTATAAACATGATGATAAACAGCTGCTTGGATAACCCTGTTTGACCTCAAGCCTCTTGGCTTATGAACCACATAACCAATATTAGCTTCTTTTTTTCAAAGAAAACCTCCTAATAAAGGTTATGTGGTTATTTGACTATTGTTTTCCTGTGCTGTATTTCATGCTGGTAGGTTTTTATCACAGTCCATGTTTACTCCAGTGATCTGCCTCACTGTCTTCTTGGGTAAGAACATGGATTTTTTGCAAAACTTTCTATCTTAATGTAAAACAATCCTTCCCAATAAGTAAGTTAAAACTGATGGTGTCACTTAATCTTTTTTTTGTTAATCATATATGGATTATATTATGTAGGTTCTGTTTTACATAAAAGTCCTTCAGTGCTTTTTTTTTTTTTAGCAGCAGTAAATCAGGAGTTTCCAACTTTTTTTTATCATCATTATAATTCCGCAGGGATTTAATCATTTTTCATTTCCCTTAATTAATAACCAAACCATGTGAGTCATCTTAACAGCACCAGCATATCAATATGGTTTAGCATAAAATTTGCAGACCATGTATCCTAACCCCTGTCGCCCAGAAATTACTTTTATACACTACTAATTTACAGCAAACCACAAATGCCATTGGAGTACAATAATTCAGCACTTTGTTTCCACTGAACACAAACCTGGCAGCAATTATGTTTCCCTCCAAACATAACGGCTTTATAAGTGTAATTTCTAGGCGACAGTGACTTTGACTAATGACTTTGGTGATCCCCCTGGTTTTTCCTCTAGTGCAAATTGTCCCAACAACTGCAGGATGGATAATTTAGTACAGACAGACGTAGCTGTAGTTTTCATGTCAGAAATGTTAGTAATAAAGTCGAGAACCTCTTAGATAGAACATGAATGTTTTAGGTCTGCTTTGTCTTCACATACTGATTCAGATGAGTGTCTTTTTTTTTTTTTCTTTTTTTTTTTCGTTGGAAATCCTGTGACTGTGTGTGAAATTGAACAGTTCAAGTGTGTCGGCCATGATGACTTTCAAGAGTAAATATCAAGTTGCTATAATGAAAGTGGAGATGAGGGTTTTATTGTGTTTCAGCATATTAGTTCCCTTGTGGCTCTGACATGCTTTACCTCCACATTCCCTGGGAAAAGATACGACACACTCGAGGTCTTGACAACTGAAACCTGAAGCAGTTTATTTGAAGCTTGACTGCATTCCTCATCATCTCTTTCCCCCCTCTCTCTTTCTAACTTTCTTTCTATCCCCTTTCCTCCATGTTAAACCCTTTTCTCTCTCCTAACTCCTCTTCTCCCCCCTCTCTTTCCTGCCTGTTTTGCTTGTGTATCCCCTCTCCCTGTCCTTGTCCCCCAGACACCATGGGCAGTGTCTCAGGCCTCGGCACCGGAGCTATCGTAGGCATCCTCATTGTTGTCTTTTTCCTGCTGCTGGTGGGCGTGGACGTCACCTGCTACTTCCTCAACAAGTGTGGACTCCTCATGTGCATTGCTGTTAACTTCTGTGGGAAGGCCGGCCCAGGTGCCAAGAGCAAGGACATTGAAGAGGGCAAGGCGGCATTCACGTAAGTTAACATCGTCACACATACATTTATGATATATTTAAAGCTGCACTAATCAATGTTTGTATATTATCAATAGACCAAATTTCTATGTGTAATATGAAAAAATTTGTTAATAGTGACGAACCAACAGAGAATGATCACCAACTCTCTCTCTCTCAATTCCAAACGCTGCTGAACATGTAAACAGATAATAAAGATATGAATATTTACAATTAAAAAATTTAAGATTAAATGTGGCTTTCCTTCACAACTTTCTGTGTAAACACACCTGTCACCTGTCCATCACATTTCTGTTACACCCGAAACACAGTGGCTACACTGCTCTGGGAGGAAAGAGTGAGCTGCAGCTCTGAAATAAGTTTTAAAAACGCACAATCACCAATCGAAGTGTCTTACATGGAGGCTCCGACACTTTTACAGAAGCAGCAACCCGGGGATGAGACACCACAGATCTGTTTTAGCAGTTAGCACGGCGGCTAGCAGCAAAAGGTGAAAGGCGAACTCGATCAGCAGTGGATCGGCTTTTATTTACCCACGTTTAAAAAAAAACGGCTTATAGCTGCTACTTTGATGAAGAAAGGGGAATTAGACTTCCTGCCTTTTCCACATGATACTAATTATTTCAGAGCAGCTCTACAGTGTACAGGGAGGCTTAGACCAGGTTTTGGGGACTAAATTCAACTTCTGAATTTGTGTTAGTGTTAAAACATACTTTTTATTGGCAATAGCACAGTAAATCAGTAAATATGTAATCATGTTGAAATTAATCTATCACATGCTAGCCTTTATTTGATCAAAAGTTCGGTTCAATATATCGAACCGTCTGTCATCACACCAGCTGTGAACTTCAGAGCACAGCACAACAAATAAATATTTAAACAGCTCTCTGAACCAGATTTATTGAGAGCGAATCATGATATGTACACAGCTGATGTCTTACCTTAGATCTAAACATGTCACCCCCAGCAAGCGAACACTTTAAAGCTTAGCTCAATCAGAGAGCAGCGTGATGATAACAGACAAGCCCCCGGGGGAAACCCACAGTCAGAGCCCGCAGGTGCATGCAAGATGTTGGAATGAGAGAATGAGAGTGTGTGTGTTTGACAGCTTAAAGGAGTACGCCGGTTTGTTTACATGTTTCAGCACATTAACCACAAATCATATTTGTTTTTACGTTGCTGCTGATCACCAGGATGTTTCTGTAAATAGATTTTTGGTACGGAGGTGTGATCTGTCACCGTTTGCGCCTTAGCTCGCTAACTGTCTGTTGCCGTCTCACAACAGGAAAGATGAGTCTAAGGAGCCCATTGTTGAGGTGAGAGCAGAGGAAGAACACACCCCAAACCAGGAAGGAGGGGGTCCCACTGAGCCCAATGAGACCACGCCTTTGACAGAACCTGAGTGAGTAGGCTGAAGAACAGCACCAGCTCCCCAGTCTATACGGGGGGGGGGGGTCCAAGACTTACAGTATCTGGGTAGAGAAATGAGCGAAAAATATTTTTGTAAACATAATTTCTCTCAAGCCAAAAAATCAACATTCAATAAGCCCCAGGTCTGTAGGCATTAACACTAAACCATAACAGTGTATGAGCTAGGGAGCCACATTTTGGGAAAAGGTTTAAGTGGCTCAGCACCTCCACCAGTACAGACCATTAAAGGTTAATGATGTTGTTTTTACACAGGTGTGTGTGTGTCACACTTTACATTCATTTTAAATCATTTTAATTAAAGCTGAGAGGCTGAAAAAAGTAACAGCTCTTATAATTTGCGATAAAATAAGCACTATAGATGGTTACGGTTTAACTTTCACAGAACCGTACAGTAACCCTGTAGTTTCATCTCACTAAAGCCGAACAGTCAAATCCGCTGTTGTCCTAATTGAGTTTGTCCAGCTTTTTTATTTCTGACCAGCAAACACTGGCTTCCCCCTGGGTCTTTGCTTTATGGTGAAAAGCATATGAGCATCCTAATCCTGAAACTCCCCACACACTTTCTGTAGTTTATTGTCCTGTTGTTTTTCGTTTTACCCTTCCACAGATATTTTGTTGCTAACGTTTTGATTGTGTAGATTTTACTTTGTCACTGCAGCACAGTAGCACTCACTCTGCCTTGTTTATGCCCTGACCTGCGCTCTCCCTCTACCCCCCTTTATTTCTCTTGTTGTCCTTTTTCTTTCTTTCCCTCACTTTTCTGGTGGCTTCTACGCTGTGTCCACTCCCCACCCCCACCCCCCTCCTCCTCCTCCCCCCTTGTTTGTCCTGCTCCTCCCCACCAAACAGGCCTGCTGCTGCAGACACCACCTCCACTGTGGTAAACTTGCTCCCCTCCACTGCCACTAACTCAGTTACTGAGAGCTTTAGCACGGCGCACAGCAGTCCTGCTAGCGAGAGCACCACGCTTACCACCAGCGCCTCCAGCCCAACCAAAGTGGCCCCTGCCAAGTCCTCCCCCCAAAACAGCCCTGTTGCTCAGTCCAGTTCGCTTAAAGCTAACCCCCAACCTGATGTCGGGCCCCTGGTCGACCTGAGCGACACACCTAAAGCTCCCCCCTCGTCCAACCCAATACCCCCTGTCTCAGAGCCAGTCAGCCCGCCCTCTGCTAATGCCGATGGGCCACAGAGCCAGTGTGAACCAGTCAAAGCCCCCGACAGCACCCAGAGTAAGGACTTACAAGTAGACGGCCCGGCCGAGGATGCCCCCAATGCCCCGTGCGCAGACTCGACCACGCCAGCTCAAAATGAGTATGAAACATTCATTTCCACATTCCTCAACTTGTCACCTCTTTTCTAGACGCTTCCCCATAACCCATGAGTCCGCCATTAGTCAGGAGAAAAAATCACCCTTAAATGTAAATGCAGTGGTTTAGGTGTCAGACCCACACACACCAGTCAGGAACCAGTCAGTATATTCTCTGAAAATGCATTTTGGGACTTTAATAGTTGTGAAAAATATATTGGGATATAATGTAATATGTTTATTTAATTTGGAAACGGTTAAGGAGAAAATGAGCCTCGCATTAATTTCATACAAGAACTGAAAAACAAAAAAACAGGAGCTGAAAAGATCAAAACATTTTCATCTTCATTACAGCGTGAAGGAAAAGTGAAGCTGAAAATGACGGAAAAATGTGTCAGTCCCTTCGACTTTCATCAGTGCTTGTGAGCTTCGCTGCCTTTCAGTCGATGTTGACAATGTTGCCTGATCACCCACTGAAAGTATGTTTGGCTGTGGGCTTGGCTCCACTGTAGTAATACTGCAGGAAGAGATCCAGAGGCAGAGATACCGGTGTCTCTGCCAACAACAGCCTCATTATACCTGAATAAATGCAGCCAGAAATCTAATTGCAGTTTGAAAGGGGAGCACAGCTGTGATTGTAGACATGCCCCGCTTTTCAAAAGCTGGGAGTCCGTCCACTGATATGGTATTTTTACAAATGCCCACCTTTTATTTTGGGGGCGGGGGGGGGGTAAAATGGCATCCTGTAAAAAAATCTGAAAATATAAACTTATTAGAAATAAAAACGGCTGGTTGAGTGAAAGTGGGAACACAAAACAAAGATTATGCAACATTTGATATAATATATATAATACACTGTAATACACTGAACTCTGATCACTGTAGGAACATTTAAGGGTGAAGTTTTCCATGCAGGTAAATGGCACAGAAAAAAAAAAGGATGTAGCAGTGCATGTCTGTCTTCATTCAACCACCACCTCCACCCTCTGCTTGTTCGTTTGCTACCGTGCAGTTTCTTCATATTTCACCCAAGTTTCATCTCTGTGATAAACCAGTTCACCGCATCATCATGGGAAACACGTAGCTGAATGATGTAACGCACCTTCTTCACATTCCAGGTCATCCGGCAATACTTGCATGAGTATGAGCAGAGCCTCCAGTATTATAAAGGATGAATCCAGTTAACTTAATCAATCAGATGAGCAGACAGTTTTGCAAACCTACAAGTAAACAGACCTGCAGTTTGGAAAAAGAAATGAGCTTGTTTCTGTGAAAGAGTGCAGAGATGACTGTATCTGTGTTGTGCAGAACCCTGAAGAATACAGTACATCTCTGTTGCGCAGGGGTGAATGAACTTGTTGGAGTAAATTAAATACTTGTGACAAAGTGACCTCCAGCAGCACCACGTTGTTGTTCGTCGTGTCCTTTTCAATTTGATAAAGGATAATAGATGTTGAAGGCAAAAAAAAGAAAAAAGAAAAGGCAAATCTCCAAAGCTCCCTGAGACAACTCTGTTTTCTATTTTAATTCTTATCTTACTTCAGTGGCACTGTAATGGGTTATCATTTGGAGGTTTTCCTCCTAAGAGCTTGCAGATGTTCCTGATTCCTGACAGCCTGTGAGGATAATGAGCGAGCTGTGGCAGAAGATGAATTACGGCGGCTTACTGACAATCACTCCTCACACTTTCTCTCCTTCATCTCACACTTTGCTCAGTCGGATGGCCAGAAGAAGATGTCAGTGATGGAGTGCGGGGAGTTGAGAGCTAGTTAGAAGCAGGGCTCTTGTCAGCTCAACATCACCTTGATATAACCAAACTTGTCATAGGAGGGATTTTTCTTCATGACTCTTTGACAGCACTGAAGCGCAGCTCTCCCACTGATCTATGTGGTGATCCTTCTTCAGCATCCCAACACTGAAATGTCTTGTCATGCCTCTTGTGGATTTATTGGATTTCTGAGTGGTGCACTCCTCCTTAGGAGCCATTTTTCCTCTCTTGAGTAGAAAAGTATCTTCACAGACTATTTCCATAGACTACAGACCCCAACATATATCGTTCAGATAAAAGGGATTTCATGGCGCCGCTGTACATTTCATTTAAAACAATGTTTCATAAGCGAAGTTTCAATCAGTTGAATTCAATTAGTGCAACTTTGAATTGCTGAAAACGTTGGACCAGTGAAGTGGATCGTTCCATAAAAAGGTGCGAATTAAAGGACTCTGGTTAGAGGAGTAATGAAAGTGATGGAGTGCTCATTGAGTTGAGAGTGACGTACTTATAGACATTGCAGCATTTAAGAGTTTGACCATTTAAAGGTCAGACGCTTCAGCAAGTCTATTACAGAGGAGGGTGTTGAATACGGAAGCTCTCACACTCTTGTGTAAATGTGGGGTTTTATCACTTGTTGACTAAACGAATCCATTAGGCTGCGATGTCGTCTTTTGTGGAAAAAAACTAATTTCATAGATTCCGACTGAATTCAGAAGAAGAACCTTTAAAAAGCGACATCTGCGAAGCTCGAGACGGATCACAGTGACGTCAGCTCGCAGTGACAGATGAGACAAAGCAACATCCAGTCTGTAGAACGGTTTTAACTTTGTCAAGGTGTCTGAGCGCTTTAGACTGTGTAGTCGTGTGCCGTCAGGATTATTGCACTGCTTTCTAAATGGTCAAGGTGAACGCGGATGAGTTTGGCATTTACTGGTGAAATTGCTTGTGTATAATAAATGAGAACTATTTGGGATTTTGGTCAGTTAACAACAGAATAAATCTGAAATCACAGTCAGTTGTATTTATTTGAGGAATAAAGGCATTTGACTGTTGATACGATAATAAAATACTTTGTACAAGTAGATTATTGTGGGTTTGGCCGTGACTCCACTTGTTGTATGACACTGGCCTGGTTGAGTCCACAAACCTGCCAAATATTTCTGAAGATGAGGCTTAAACTAACAGAGGACTGAAATATGCAGCAAAATGAAACGATCAATCGGGACTAAACTGAAGATAATGATCATTTTTGGAGCAAAATTTCCACTGTTACATTAAAAAAAAGAAATCTAAAATTGCAACATGTGACATGAAATTTGCTGACAACTCTCATGCTCCCGAGGGGATGAACCCATAGTTCATGGCCGTACCCTCTGGCGCCACCTTCAGGGCACATTTCACACTGTCAGCCCGACTACGGCTCCTTCCTTCTCTCTTTGAATGGACATGAGAAATTATTTAAACCAACATTAGAGATCAAAGTTTCCAGAGATCTAGTCTGAAGGTATTAATAGTCAGTCTGTGTCAGTTTAAAGACTGTCGGGGTCGTATGTATTTATGGATCCTGTATATAGGACAGTCCCTGACCTAACTTTGTTAAGCCCGCAGAGAGCATGTATATGTGTCAGCAGGATAGAGAAATGTATTGACTAAAAAACTGCTATCTGAGAGTTAACAGAGGAAAGAAGAAGAGACGAATGCGTGTGACACAACACTTTTGCGCCACATTTTCAAAATGGAGGCAGCAGCAGCATGTCACTACAAATGTTTCCAACAGGGTTACATATGCTAAGAGCAGAAAATGTTAGACTTAAGTGAAGTATGGCTTTAAAGTCTGTTCCCATTGTGTCCCGGCTCAGTCCAGACGGCGTGTAATCCTCTTGTGTATTGTAGTTTGTGTTGTAGGTTATGCCTCAGTCTTTCATTCCTTCATGCATTGTGCCTACTGTACCGGCCCTGTCTCATTCCACATCGGCATTCATTGTTCCTTGAAAATAGCTGTGACATCCATGTACTCTTATTTGATGTCTGGCTAGGATAGTGAGCTTGATCCCATTATGTGTGAAATGCATTCAGTTCCAGGAGGGAAAACAAATTCCCTCAAAGCATCTTGCATGTTTTTCCCCCCAGATTTTTTTTTATTCTCGTCTTTCTTTGAAAAATGACACAAAAGGCAGCTCAGAGACAGTTTAGCTGTGAGACAGAGACATAGTGAATTGCCGTTAACAGAATCTCCTCTCTCTTTTTTTTTTGTGTCTCCTTCCCGCTTCTGTGTTTGTCCCCACAGCGGTAAGACTGTGAAGGACGATAACACTAAAGGCGAGACAGAGGTGAAGAACGCCACGGGCGAGGTGAAGACAGTCCCCAACGAGGCTCCCCAGATGAACGGCAACGAGAGTAAAGCGTAATCTCCTGGCCCGAGAGCATCAGGAGGAGAAGGGTGGTTGGGGTTGGAAAGGGTGGAAGGGTGTGGGTTTTTAAGGTTAATCGAGGGGGGTCACAGTCACTGAAACCTCAAAGCAATGTCACACACCACCCCGTCGCATCAGAAAAAAAAACAACAAAAAAGCAACAGAAAAGGTTTAAAAAAAAAAAAAAAAAATTAAAAAAAAAAAAAGAAATCATGGGTCTCTTTCTACAGGAAAATGTAAAGACCTCATGCACATGCCTTAGTTCCTTCTATGTCGATTTCTATCTGTTTAATTCTCACAGAAAAAAAAAAAGAAGCAAAATTCATGCTTGTAGCTCACCCTCTTTCTTGTATGTAATATTACATTGATAAACTGTTAAATACAGAAGCTGAAAAACTATTTTCCTCTAGATAACCATGGTTGGACTGTAGCTTTACTTCACAGATTACTGCCTTCATCATGTACACACATGTAAGACTGGTGCATTACCAATAATACTATTCTTTATGCAGTATGGTCATCATCGTGGTAATGGATTATGGGTCTTTTTTTCCTTTGTGGATATTTTGTTGTGTTTAAATAATGTGCAGATGTTACTGCCTATTTAGCTTCTTTTTTTTTTTTTTCTTTTTTTTTTTTCATGTGTTATTTCCAGGGCTAGAGATTAGAGCATTAGCATGCCTGTTTTTGCAGAGTTACTGTATTTCTGTACACGTTGCTGTCATTTGGTTCCTCTTCAGATGATTTTTTTGTTTTGTTTTGTTGTATTTTATTTTATTTTTTTTGTTGTTGTTTTTTTTCTGGTCCAGAAATCATGTAGCCTACGCTCTGAGAAACGGAGGAAGACACCGGAGAAAGATTTATCATGCTGGCTAGGTTCATGGGTTTCAAACCCTGTCTCCACAAGAACCATGTTTATATACTTTTGCCTAATATATTTTGAAAGACATGTTACTTAAATCCGGACGACATTAGGTTTCTTTCCAAAGGTCTTTGCTGTTGTAAATGAGCTGTACACGGACGTGAGGTTTTTTTTTTTTTTTTTTTTTTTTTTTAGGAGACAGGGTTGGGTTGGGTTTAGGATTAGGAAATAGCCACGTTTAGGATTATAGCTGTGTTCCTTCTCGGGGGCCACATCCCTCAAAGTCCAATTGTGTTACATTCCGAAAGAGAAACACGGCCTCACTTCGACTAAATTTGAAAACTGCTGGTGTATCAGTCTGAAATCCACCGGTCGGTTTGTTCAGACTGATTCCAGTCTTCATCAACTCGTCAGATTTAAGTCCATTTTTATGTGACCAAATATACCAGGTGTATTCACGTGGTCACTGGTAAATGTATTATATGAACTGGACCAATGAATAAAAAAGGAAACTACAGGATGTAAATAATAGAAGCCAGGCATAAAGTTCACTGCTTCTTCTTGTTGGTAGCTATGTAGTTAAAGTTAATTAAATTATAAATGGATAGTAACCAGTAACATCGTACACTGAAATGTCAGAACTGTGCCTGAACTATAAACTACCCTGGGCCGTTCGAGGGCAACTTCCTGCTTGTAATTTTTGACCTTAGGTGTTGACGAGGACCACCCATTAGTTTAGTAGCGTGTGGTCAGAATTAGCGATGATGCTAAGGTGAGTCCTCTGTAGACTGTCTGGTCTCAGCCCGCTAACCTTCAGTGCCATCCTTTGTACGCCACACACTTTGAAGGAGGTGGCGCCTGTAGTGGGACACAGCTTATGTGTGTGTTGTTTATATTGTAATTTGGTTTTCTATAGGTTCATGTGAGAACACACTCTCTCTCTCTCTCTCTCTCTCTCTCTCTCTCTCTCTTTCTCTATCACGCACATACTCCTTGGCCTTTTCCAGAAGGTTTCCTTTTGAGCGTTTTGGAACCAGTTCTTTCCCGGGCAGGTTTGGGCTCAACGGTGACTCAGAAGAGAAGGTCACATGTGTTCTGTCAAAGCAGTTTCAATCCACAGGTTTGGACTGAGAAGCAGAAGACATGTTTGTTGGAGAAAGAAAAAAAACAAAAACATAGCCTTGCCTTTAGCCTTTGCAGGTTTCTTGGCCAAACTAGTTGAATTCTTCACACACACACACACATTTCCACTGGCTGCAGATGGTCTTGAATATCACGTTCAGTTTGTTGCCATAGAGTTAACCATCTCTACTCGATCGTCTGATCCGTAATCTTTGTTTCCCCTCTTTGTGCTAACCTCTAATATTCCCTGCTTTTTAAATGAAATGGTGTGAGGGCTCAGCTTTCTGAGATTTCCATACCTCCGAGTGACCAAACATCTGATCCCCTCAGCCATTGTTTTCTCACCTTCACCACAGCTGTTGTCAGTGTGAGTCTGCGTCACCGCTGCTCCCACCACCTCGCAGTGAAGTCTTTAATTAGTTTGTGCCTGCAGTGATGTGACATGTAGTGTAGGTTTTAGTACGGTCTATCATGTTGTTTTAAACTCACTTCATCACTAAAGTCTCAGCACAACGTCCGCTTACTCTTGGACTTGAGGTCAAGTCTCTACTTGTTATAACTGGTCAGATGTTAGTGACACTAAAAACAGGAAGTTCAGGTTCCGTAACGTTAAAGTAAAAAACGCAAAGAGAATACACAGGCAGTTTGGATTGGATTGGAGTTTGATTTCACTAGTGCTGTTTTAAAGGACTGCACTGATTTATTTGGGCCAGTATCTGAGAGAACTGATGTAATGATCAGTATCTGTATCTCCAATATAGATCTGTGCTCCCTGTGTATGTTAAATACCCACCGACAGCTGGCATTATACCAACCGTGAGTGCTAGTTTTTTAACTGAAGTAAAAAAAAGCCAAACCACAATTAACCACGAAAGCAGGCGGGAAAATGCATTTGATGTTTGATGAAGTTAGTCTCAGCCTGGATGATGAGCTCGACATCACCAGTCTAAACCCGCTGCAGGCTTTTTAAGGGAATTGTTAGAAACACAATGATTCAAAAGATTGAACATTTAGTGATTTAGTTATTTCCCTCTGTGGTTGAAATCCCGTCACCTCCAGCCTGTGGGAGTTGAACTGTTTTGTTTTAGTGGAGCTACAGTATCTAATGCTGGCCTTGATCCCGTCTCTGTAGGATCTCGTCTACCAGCATCCGTCATCTCATTCATCACCTTCATGTTTTTATACTTTTGGTTTATAATGGACGTTATTAACGATGAAGATTGAGATTTGCATAATGCCAGCTGGCTGTGGTTATTTAACGTACTACATGCCGATATTTTTTCATGCATGCTGGATGAAAACGTTTAGACACAGGTGACTTTTTTTTTTTTTTTTTTTACCAGTAGATATTTTAGTTTAGTAACCAGTGTGTTAAAATACTAAAAAAATAAAACAGCTGTGTCCTTGAAAATGAAGCCCAACAAACGTCACGAGGAGTCCTGTGGAAATTTGTGCTCAGTAGCAAAATTCAACTGAAGTTTGGCTTAAACGAAAAGTCTGAGTCTGAAAGTGAATGTATGCACTCAAGCCATTAAGCATTGCCTTTCAGTGGTACACAACAAAACTGGATGAAGATTAAATTTGGACTCCTTTAACTAACCAGGACAGAACATGAGTCTGCGGTGTTAAAAGGTCTCTTTATGCATAGAAAGTCTTTGACAGGAATGTTTTTTCTCAAGCCATAGTGCCCTGCTGTGGATTTGGAAGGTTAAAAATAATGAATAAATAAATGACCGTTTTTGTTTTTTTGTTTGTTTGTTTTTTGCTTTTTCTTTTTTGTGCAGTGTTCCTCCTACTTTAGACTGCAAGCTAGTACACTGTGAATGTGTGAATCCATTGTGTCCTTTGTCATAGAGTTGAGCAAATAGTTTGGTTGTGAAAAGATGTAGCTGATAGTGTGTGCGACAGAGTTCCCGACACCAACGTACAGAAGTCCGACAGCAGCAAACCGGAAAGACACAGTGCCTTTGATTGAGAAATGGTGGCATGCGTTCCCCTCATTGTCTGCACATTCAAACTCTCACATCTCCATCTTTCTGCCCATGAGCTTTTTTCATTTACTGCATTTCACATTTGTAAATTAAGCAACGCTTTGTTTAAATTGTCTCGTATATTTTGAACGGCTGCATTCGTGTGTTTTGGTGTATCTGATGCTTTCTCCACACTACACTTTTACACACAGGTTTAAAACCATTATTACTGTCTTTATGATGAACATGGTACTCACCACGTTACTTAATGAAATGTACGAACGCATCAATACGTTTTTCAGACTCGGTGTGAAAGGGATCCGATCAGACTTAGCTGTAGCGATGTTGTCATGTCCCCACGTCCTGCCAGCTGACCCGCTGAGTGCGACGCCCGTCGTATCTCACAGAAGTGGCCGCCTGAATGACACAAGTGAGTCCCAAGTTGTAACAAACTGGACTCAAGAGAAAATAAACTGACTCGCCATCTTAGAAAACTAGCATCACATGGCAAACCAATCACGTCGGAGTACAAGACACAGCGACGCTCTGCTCAGGTCCCATCTTCTCTACAACATCTGAGATTGTTGGATTTGTCAGATGCAAACATGCAAAATATATTAGAGCTGGATATTATTATCATCACCGTTTTTGACATGGAGAAAAAAAAAAATAACAACTTCATGTATTGTATTGATCTTTTTTTTTTTCCAAATGTTGTGAATCTTGTTCTGTTTCCAAAACCTTTTTGTGTTTGCTTCAAAAGAAAACTGGTTTTGCTTCACAAAGCTCTGAAATGTAATAAAACAATGAGGAGTGTCAAAACAACATGTACTGTTTCTGCTGAAATATAGTGTGAAGATGCACAAAAAGACCCATGTGAGTTTTTTTGTTTTGTTTTTGTCCAAATTAAGGCCGGAGCTGCTCTGGATTTGCAAATGTGCAGCCACCTTTTTGTGCAAGTTCACTTGAAACCTTTTTCTAGTCTATGTCACAGCTCCTGAAATATATGTGTGGAGGACACTGGCTGAATCAGGCGCCTTGTTCAGATACCTCACAAATGCAAGAATGACACAGAGGCAGCCTTGCATTTTTCTGTTTGAGGCCACCGCTTGATTCAGTCAGAATAAAGACATCTGGCAGGTTTTGTCATCTTGCTCCGTTTGTGAGGAGGAGACAAAGCAACATGAATTTTTCAGGGT